AGAGAAGCCAGTGCGCGCCGCGCTATGTCTCATACCGAGGTGTCAGCGACCGTCAACTACGGTGACATCCACCATACTAGCATAACACGACAGGTTCAGTGTTGTGGATGTCCTCGTTGTGTCAGCGCATGGTGAAAAACACGTTAGAACAAACGTTGTTGTAACTGAATTAGTGTGGAAGCAGCATGTTGGGGGGCCGTGATAGGGTTGCGGTCACGGTAGAGCTTATGACAACCACCCTCGTCATTATTTCTGTTCGGTCGGACCGGCGCTCGTTGGCTCGTTTTTTCACTTGGTACGCGGATTTCCTTGTTCGTGACGACTTGGCCCATGTGTGATCGGGATATCATTGGCTACGGCAGTCCTACTGCACTTGCTGCCATGATATTGCTTGTTTGCGTTGGGCTGGCGAACACCTGGCCTTATGACCACCTGGGGGCCTTCGTGATCCGTGATGTGCGTCCTCGTTTTCGTCGTTCCTTGTGCGCCATGTCTTAACACAGTATCAAGACAGTATTAATCGTTGATCTCTTCTTCAGGTAGAGTGAAACGACGACGACCATGAGTAGGATTACAATTATTAGGCATAAGCCACCAATGGTCAGTCCGACAATAAGTTCAATGCTTGATGTTTGTGGTGGAGGGACAACAACCACATACATTGTATTGGCAGAGAAGACGTTTCCTGCAAGATTGCAGACTGCGCATGAGTAGTCGCCCGCATCGGCAGGGGTGACAGAGCCTCTCTCGTACGTGCTGCTGACTTTTGCCGGGATAACAGTTCCGTTGTGAAGCCATGAATAACTTGGCTCGGGGTTTCCGTCTGCGTTACAGAGGAGTCACAGCGCACTGCCGTGGTTGACAGTCATAACGCCTGCCTGACTGTCACCACTGACTCTGACTCTTGCAATGTAAATAACATTGAGCCAAACATCAACCGACAGTGACTGGAATGATTCGTGGATGTCAACATGACAGGTAAGTATTTTATCGTGATCATTAGCGGTAAACGTACGCGTCAGTTTGCTGTACGTCGTTATAGTTCCATCAACTTTAGTGGCATGTGAAGTATTAGCTCCGTCTACAGATGTATCACCAAGTTTCCATGTTACTGTTCCTCCCGGAAAGCTTTTATCTGTAGTGCAGCTAAACTCAACGGATCCTGCAAGTATCGTCATATTACCGTCTACATTATTGCCGTCTATCGTCATTGTGACATTCCTTGCTGGCACTAACACGGTCACATTCAACTTGACATGTATTGTTACTCGACATGTATTCTCCAAACACACTAGTTGCTTTACACGCGTACAATCCTCTGTGTTTAAACTTGACTAACTCGATCACCAGCTCGTCGCCTGCAGCTTGTATCCCCTGGTCGTCGTGGAACCACGTGTAAGATGGTTCTGGATAGCCGTCAGCATTGCAGCGTAGAATCAGCTTCTCTGCTTCGATAATAATGACGTCATCATCACTGGAGTTGTTGTTGCTGCTGACGATGGTCACGGTGTCTGACATGTACAAAACCTCCGTTAACACTTCTTCGGGTAAACTTTGGTGATTTAAGATATGACAACGAAGTTCTTTGTCAATGTCTTCAGTTAAAAACCTGTGACTCAGGATATTTCTTGTTGTAAATGTCTTGTTTCTTGAACCCGCTTCCTCAGTTTGACTGGAGTCGGCAGTGATATCTTCACCATTCAGCCACCAGGTGATGCTAGCTGCCGGGTTACTGCTGTCAGATACACAGGAAAACTGTAGTGTTCCATCCAGTGATGAAGGGCTGTCTATAACAGACATGATAACCGACTGTGGTGGCACAAGCACAGTTAGATGACCCTTGTTAGATAAATGGCCGCTCCCCGGCGCGACCTCGGCTTGCTGCCACACACAATAGAACTCTGCGTCATCTCTCTCAACTCTCAAGGTAGATATTAGCAAACTAAAGTTTCCTGTGTCGTACATGTTGGCGTCAATGTAGGAATATCTATCTTCATCAGTAGGACTTACGTAGGCGCCGTCACGATACCAATAAACGAAAACAGGAAAATCTTCCACGGAATTAAAACTAAAGTCAATCGTGCAGTGCACCGTAACATTGGAACCTTCAACTGCCTCCGGCTCCGTGTCACATGGTTGCTGCAGGAACTGCGTCCTTACCGCCACTAAGACTGCAGACAATACAGATGCTGTCATAAATTGACGTTTGATCATCGAGCCGGTGAGCGCACGTACGTCCAGACCCGGTGAATCCAGAAGCGGTAATATCGGCAGAATCAAGGAAAAATCCCGAGTCCCTGAAACGGTAAATACAGACAAATTTGTAATCTGAGGAGTAATGTGATATTGGAGAGGTTTACATTTAACTCCCGAGTACAACAACAAGGTGAAACTATAGAAACATTTGCAGCAGATTCGCGCAATACAGCAAGCACCTGTGAATATGGGCAACTGTGTGAGACCACAATTAAAAAATATTTGTTTGCCCTCACCCGACCCAGGCTGAAGTTTGGGTAGGTAGGCTTTTTTTGAGAGGGGTATTTTTACAAATTCAGCATGGTGTCTACATGCTTAGGTGTGCTTGCGTGGAGATACCTTTTATGTTGAATGTTTGTTTTGCTTGGTACATATAATGTATTGCCTACAGATTTTTATAGTGTACAGTAATACAATTTGTCAAAAAAAGAATGGGAAAGATCAATAAAAAATTTTGAGTCAGCCCCTTTTTGGCGGGTCGGTCGGGTGAGGGCAAACAAACAATATTTTTATTATGGCCCGATCAGCTCATTAGAGACAGAATAGTCATAAGAATTACATCTGTCGGTGTCCAGAAAATACTGTTAAGAGAAAGTGACCTCACATTGGACAAAGCCATACATACGTGTCCGATACACGAACTGTCAGAGCATGATGCTAAATTAATGCAAAATAAACTTAATGCTGATGTTGTCAGGGAACAGCGTACACCACATTGGAAAAAAAACCCGCAAGCTAACGCGTGGCCCGAGCAATCACAAACACACAATTTGATTGCCGAGGACACATTTACCAATCAAGGACTGTGACAGTGGCGTAGTTAGGGGGGGGGCAAAGGGGGCCATGGCCCCCCTGTTGATCCGAAAGTGAAAAAAAAAGAAAATAATTGTTCTACTAAAAAAAGAATTGTCGTAGTCAGAATGAAGGCTGTACATGTACTCAAAAGTGCCTCAAATACCTTCTCCTGCAATCTACATTTTCAAACGAATTTTGGGGGATGACCCCCCACACCCCGCCTGTTTTTTCACCCCACCTCCTTCTCCTCAGAATCCTGGATCCGCCACTGAACAGTTCAGAACATATCTTGGGAGCAGCGAACAACGAGCAAAGATGTCGCCTTTTTGCATGGCGCCCAAAACAAGGGTTGCAGAGCTGAGAGGTGGGGGCGCGTAGGGTGTGGAGAGGGAGGCGGAGGAACCATTAAAATATTATGTCATCCACTATTTTGCGCAGTTCGCTGTTTTTGGCCACCCTGTTAAAAAATCCTGGCTACGCCACTGGACTGTGACACAGATCTAGAGGACACACCGGACTATAAGATACTGTCAGTGTTACCGATCAGTAGTAAGAAGCTGGAGGACCTAAAGGAAGCTACTTCATACGACGCCACACTTCAGAAAGTTCACAGAGCTATCGTCAGGGGTTGGTCGAAATGTGAACTTGAACTCAAACCATTCTACCCATTTCGTGATGAAATGATCGAAGACGAGGGTGTGATTCTGAAAGGTCAGAAAATAGTGGTACCAAAATCACTTCAGCGTAAATACTCTAACTTAGTACATAGTGGTCATTTGGGGTCAGAAGCCACCAAGCGCCGTGCAAGAGACATCATGTATTGGTCAAGCATGTGTCGAGACATAGATGACATAATAGACCAGTACAACATATGCCATAGCACAAAATCGCACCAGTCAAGAGAACCACTACTACCATATCCAGCGCCAAGTAGACCATGGGCCATAGTTGGAACGGATCTATTTGAGTGGCATTGCATGATATACCTTGTCACAGTTGACTCGTACTCTAGATGGTTTGAACTTAACACACTTGTGGACACATCAACTAAGACAGTAGTGCAGAAGCTCAAGTCACATTTTTTCTAGATAGGAATAGTAGGAATAGTATTCCAGACATGCTGATCTCCGATAGTGGCTGTTCACGTCGAGAGAAGTTAATTGCTTTGCAGTAGCATGGGGATTCCATCATACAATGAGCAGTCCACATTTCCACAATAGCAACGTACTGGGGGAGAAAGCTGTTCAATCTGCTAAGAAGTTACTTGAGCAATCGTTCAGAGACGGCACGGATCCATACTTGAACATGCTGAATTGGGGCAATACGCCAAGAGACAACACATGGAATGCCAGCGCAACGGAATTTATCGCATTGAATAACCACAACAATTCCTACGGCTGAAGCTCTGTTAAAAAAGTAGTGGTAGCTATCACGAAGCGCGCTGCACTACAGCGAACGCTTTCAACGGGTCCTGCTTATATATTATAGTTATATAGGTGCAAACGAAAATAACTAATCGTGTCGATTTCATGATGGATTTAACTATATATATATATAGCTAGAGATTTGCTCAAAATGCACCCATAACTTTTTTGGTTCTAATCGGTGCGTCCTATATAGGTCAAAAATGCGTTAGAATATTAATACTATAAAGACATGCCTAATGAAAGCGAATGGGATTTGGTCCCATGCGTGCGTAGTAGCCGAGCTGCGCTTTATTTGTCCGCGCCAAGTCATTTATTATTTTTACATGTCGGCCAGCGCAGGCATACACTATACAACCTACTACAGAAAAAAAATACATATACACACATGCACATAGGCATACTAGCATTAGCCGTTCAAACAACAACCAACGGCGCAAATACACTTTCCTATACCGGCCAATATTATAATAAGATACCACTAAAACAACAATACCGACAAATTTATACTTAAAATCACACATTGTTACCTTTTTGAGTAATTTCACTGACAAACACATGATTACACATGATTGTGCGCTGCATGATGTTACGAAATGATGTTATGTGCATATACATGCGCATAATATAAACAACGCGAGAGAAGCCAGTGTCCGCGCCCGCGCTATGTCCTCATACGAGGGTATCCAGGCGACCGTCAACTACGGTGACGCCACCGATACCAGCATAACACGACAGGTCAGTTTGTGGAGTCCTCGTTGTGGTCAGCGCAAGGTGAAAAACACGGTTAGAACTAACGTGTTGTAATGAATTAGTGTGTAAAGAGCATGCTATGGGGGGTAGAATAGGGTTGGGTTCACCGGTAGAGCTATGACAACCACCCTCGTCATTATTTTCTGGTTCGTCGGACCGGGCTCGTTGGCTCGTTTTTTCACTTGGTCGCGGATTTCTTTGTTCGTGACGACTTGCATGTGTGATCGAGATAGCAATGGTACCGGAGTCATACTGCCTTGCTACATTATGTTTGCTGTTTGGTTGGGTGGCGAACACCTGCTTATGACCACCTGGTGGCTCTTGATCCGTGATGTGGTCCTCGTTTTTGTACGTTCCTTGTGCGCCGTGTCTTAACAGTATCAAGACAATATTAATCGTTGATCTCCTCTTCCGGTAAATTGAAACGACGACCATGAGTAGGATTACAAGGCATAAGCCACCAATGACCAGTCCGACAATAAGTCCAATGCTTGATGTTTGTGGTGGAGGGACAACAACCACAGACATTGTATTGGCAGAGAAGACTTTTCCTGCAAGATTGCAGACTGCGCATGAGTAGTCGCCCGCATCGGCAGGGGTGACAGAGCCTCTCTCGTACGTGCTGTTGACTTTTGCCGGGATAACAGTTCCGTTGTGAAGCCATGAATAACTTGGCTCGGGGTTTCCGTCTGCGTTACAGAGGAGCCACAGCGCACTGCCGTGGTTAACAGTCATAACGCCTGCCTGACTGTCACCGCTGACTCTGACTCCTCGAATGTAAATAACATTGAGCCGAACATCGACTGACAGTGACTGGAATGATTCGTGGATGTCAACATGACAGGTAAGTATTTTGTCGTGATCATCAGCGGTAAACGTACGCGTCAGTTTGCTGTACGTCGTTATAGTTCCATCAACTTCACTGGCATGTGAAGTATTAGCTCCGTCTACAGATGTATCACCAAGTTTCCATGTTACTGTTCCTCCCGGAAAGCTTTTATCTGTAGTGCAGCTAACCTCAACGGATCCTGCAAGTATCGTCATATTACCGTCTACATTATTGCCGTCTATCGTCATTGTGACATTCCTTGCTGGCACTAACACGGTCACATTCAACTTGTTACTTGACATGTATTCTCCAAACACACTAGTTGCTTTACACGCGTACAATCCTCTGTGTTTAAACTTGACTAACTCGATCACCAGCTCGTCGCCTGCAGCTTGTTTCTCCTGGTCGTCGTGCAACCACGTGTAAGATGGTTCTGGATAGCCGTCAGCATTGCAGCGTAGAATCAGCTTCTCTGCCTCGATAATAATGACGTCATCATCACTGGAGTTGTTGCTGCTGACGATGGTCACGGTGTCTGCCATGTACAAAACCTCCGTTAACACTTCTTCGGGTAAACTTTGGTGATTTAAGATATGACAACGAAGTTCTTTGTCAATGTCTTCAGTTAAAAACCTGTGACTCAGGATATTTCTTGTTGTAAATGTCTTGTTTCTTGAACCCGCTTCCTCAGTTTGACTGGAGTCGGCAGTGATATCTTCACCATTCAGTTCCCAGGTGATGCTAGCTGCCGGGTTACTGCTGTCAGATACACAGGAGAACTGTAGTGTTCCATCCGGTGATGAAGAGCTGTCTATAACAGACATTATAACCGACTGTGGTGGCACAAGCACAGTTAGATGACCCTTGTTAGATAAATGGCCGCTCCCCGGCGCGACCTCGGCTTGCTGCCACACACAATAGA